AAAAGATAAGGGATTTATGAATGAAATATTGATAAATTGTTTAAAATCTTGTAAATTAAGATATATTGGATATAATTAAATGACTAAATAGCTATTTAACTCTTTCTCTGAGATTATAAATTAATAAATACATGATGATAAAAGGGTAGAAAAAATTTAATATAAAAAGTTACCTGGTATGATTTTGTTGAATTTTCATCATTCAAAATCTTCTTCAACCTGTTTTTTATTCAATTTTTACTTATTTACTTATTATTATAACGTCTTTTTCCATTTCCTCTTGCATTATTACGATATATTTTATAATTATAATTAGTTACAGCAAATTCAATAGTCAAAGAAGAATCAGCTTTCCACCATGTCAAAAATTTCATGGGTTTGTTTTGGTTTGTTTTGTGTTGGTTTGTTTGTATTTTTTTGAGTTTGGCAAACGTATAAACGAGAAAAATATATATATAAATTGTAACGACGCGAATATAGATATAAATTGTAACGACACGAATATATATATAAATTGTAACGACACGAATATATATATAAATAGTAACGACGCGAATATAGATATAAATTGTAACGACGCGAATATAGATATAAATTGTAACGACAGGAATATATATATAAATTGTAACGACACGAATATATATATAAATAGTAACGACGCGAATATAGATATAAATAGTAACGACAAAAATATATATATAAATAGTAACGACAGGAATATATATATAAATTGTAACGACAAAAAATATATATATAAATAGTAACGACGCGAATATAGATATAAATTGTAACGACAAAAATATATATAAATTGTAACGATGCGAATATAGATATAAATTGTAACGATGCGAATATAGATATAAATTGTAACGACAAAAATATATATATAAATTGTAACGACAAAAAATATATATATAAATAGTAACGACGCGAATATATATATATAAATAGTAACGACACGAATATAGATATAAATTGTAACGACAAAAATATATATAAATTGTAACGATGCGAATATAGATATAAATTGTAACGACAAAAATATATATATAAATTGTAACGACAAAAAATATATATATAAATAGTAACGACGCGAATATATATATAAATAGTAACGACACGAATATATATATATAAATTGTAACGACAAAAAATATATATATAAATAGTAACGACGCGAATATATATATAAATAGTAACGACAGGAATATAAATATAAATTGTAACGACAAAAATATATATATAAATAGTAACGACGCGAATATAGATATAAATTGTAACGACAAAAAATATATATATATATAAATAGTAACGACACGAATATAGATATAAATTGTAACGACGTGAATATGAATATAAATTGTAACGACACGAATATATATATAAATTGTAACGTCAAAAATATATATATAAATTGTAACGACGTGAATATGAATATAAATTGTAACGACACGAATATATATATAAATTGTAACGTCAAAAATATATATATAAATTGTAAAGACGCGAATATAGATATTAATTGTAACGACATGAATATATATATATATATATATATATATATATATATATATATATATATATATATATATATATATATATATATATATAAATGGTAAAGACCCGAATATAGATATAAATTGTAACGACAAAAATATATATATAAATAGTAACGACCCGAATATAGATATAAATTGTAACGACAAAAATATATATATAAATAGTAACGACGCGAATATAGATATGAATTGTAACGACACGAATATATATATTATATAGTAATAGAAACATATATTATTTTAATTTATTTATATTCTCATCACGTGGTTTATCGTTATTTACTTTTATTATTTATTTATTTTTTTAATCAAAGGAAAGGAAGGTAGAAAAACAAACATCCCAAATTTAAAATTTCATTTTTCAATTGTTTTTGTTTGTTTTGTGTTGGTTTGTTTGTTTTAGTTTGTGTTTTTTTGAATTTGGCAAACGTCTAAACGAGAAAAAAAAATATATATATATATATTTACTTTTATTATTTATTTATTTTTTTAATCAAAGGAAATGAAGATAGAATAACAAAAATCCCAAAGTTAAAATTTCATTTTTCAATTGTTTATTTGAGATATATATAAATATATATATAAATTGTAACGACAAAAAATATATATATAAATAGTAACGACGCGAATATATATATATAAATAGTAACGACACGAATATAGATATAAATTGTAACGACAAAAATATATATAAATTGTAACGATGCGAATATAGATATAAATTGTAACGACAAAAATATATATATAAATTGTAACGACAAAAAATATATATATAAATAGTAACGACGCGAATATATATATAAATAGTAACGACACGAATATATATATATAAACTTTAACGACAAAAAATATATATATAAATAGTAACGACGCGAATATATATATAAATAGTAACGACAGGAATATAGATATAAATTGTAACGACAAAAATATATATATAAATAGTAACGACCCGAATATAGATATAAATTGTAACGACAAAAAATATATATATATATAAATAGTAACGACACGAATATAGATATAAATTGTAACGACGTGAATATGAATATAAATTGTAACGACACGAATATATATATAAATTGTAACGTCAAAAATATATATATAAATTGTAACGACGTGAATATGAATATAAATTGTAACGACACGAATATATATATAAATTGTAACGTCAAAAATATATATATAAATTGTAAAGACGCGAATATAGATATTAATTGTAACGACATGAATATATATATATATATATATATATATATATATATATATATATATATATATATATATATAAATGGTAAAGACCCGAATATAGATATAAATTGTAACGACAAAAATATATATATAAATAGTAACGACCCGAATATAGATATAAATTGTAACGACAAAAATATATATATAAATAGTAACGACGCGAATATAGATATAAATTGTAACGACAAAAATATATATATTAATAGTAATAGAAACACATATTATTTTAATTTATTTATATTCTCATCATGTGGTTTATCGTTATTTACTTCTATTATTTATTTATTTTTTTAATCAAAGGAAAGGAAGGTAGAAAAACAAACATCCCAAAGTTAAAATTTCATTTTTCAATTGTTTTTGTTTGTTTTGTGTTGGTTTGTTTGTTTTAGTTTGTGTTTTTTTGAATTTGGCAAACGTCTAAACGAGAAAAAAAAATATATATATATATATTTACTTTTATTATTTATTTATTTTTTTAATCAAAGGAAAGGAAGGTAGAATAACAAACATCCCAAAGTTAAAATTTCATTTTTCAATTGTTTATTTGAGTTGTAATATATAAAACTTTTACACAAGTTTATTTAATATTAATATATTATATATATAATATTAGTAATATTATTAAGCCACTGTAGTTTTGTTGGAGGGTGCTGGCCTCTTGCGGCAGTTTTAAAAACTACTTTCGAGTACCGTGTTCCCTGTGGAGGTTCCCTGGATAGTGCTGCTATCTGCTATCAGATTTCTTAACTAAGTACCGTTTTCCTGTTCTCTGGGTAGTGCTGACCTCTTTTAACGGATTTTGGAACTACTATTTCATTATATACACTTATTGGATGGTGCTGCTCTCTTTTATGGGGTTTTAAAGTTATTATTCAAACGTTTTGTTCGATATTGCTGCTATCTTTATATAGTTATGGAAACTATTATTCAAAATTCGTTTCAATTTATAAATGAACATTAAAATTGTTTTTTTCGTCTTGTTATATTGATTAAATGTTTATTAATGTAATTGTTAACTTGATAAGGCCCCAGAATCTTCCCTAATATGTTAATAACTTAAAATTGCGTGTGAGAAATTCTATAAAATGTTTCCTTCTTTAAATTTATTATCTTAACTGTTTTATAGTCTAAGATTGTGTCTGATTCTTTCATACCTTAGGTTAATTATTTATTGCTAGTTTCTCAAAAGCATTTATAGTGAGTGAAGTGAAGTTTTGAATAAATCTAGAGGTATCAACAGTGAACTGTGTTTATAAATAGAGATATGAAATGGTTCGTTATTTATGTTTAAATATATGGTAAACCATAATAGACCAAAATAAATAAATATATTTCTCTAAAGTGTTGGAAGTGAGTGGAATTTTGAATGCATCTAGTGACAGTGAACTTCATTTATAAATATTATGGATATGTAGTCATTTTGTTATGTATTTTTATATATATGGTAAAACATAATAGAATAAAACAAATAAATGTGTTTCTGTGAAGAGTTGTTTTAAGTTTACCTCCATTCTCCCTTTATAATCAAATACTGATGCTGATTTCTGTATGTATTATTAACTAAAGATGTATATCTGATTCAAAGTTAAGCTGTTTGCTATTTTTCTTTTCAAATGTTAAAGGTAAGTTTTCACAATTTTCTATTTATTAAATTGTTCATGTTCATAAGATATAATTCATTCTTTGTTTTCTCATTCAATGTTGTTCTTTTAAATTTTGACGCTGGCTTTCATTTAAAATCATTTGGTAGTTGAAATCTTAACATTTTAAAGATATTTTTTGAAAATTATCTTGTGCTAATTGGTAATACTATAGAACATTTTGATTATAGTTGATCGACTGTGATTTATATCATGGAAAAAATTATCAGGATTCAATCATTATTTTATTGCAACTAAATAACAAATACAACTCTGAATTCAAACTGTTGGGTATTCATCAATAATGAAATTAAATCAGTTATACAAGATATATATAAATGAATATAGTATAGATAAAAATAAATAACAAAATGATAATCGATATAAGTAAATTAAGGATAAAGAGAGTAGTAAGAATATAAATAATAATAGAGATACATATTATTTTACTTAATTTACATCCTCATCACGTGATTTATCGTTACTTACTTCTATTATTTTTCTTTTTGAATCAAAGGAAAGGAAGGTAGAAAAACAAACAGTCCGAACTTCAGTGTTTATTTATAATATATTTTACAAAATTACAAACAGCCCCCCGACTTTGATGGATTGACTGTGTGGCTGGGGAGGCGAGGAGTTTGGAAGTCCACAACTGGATGGCAGCAGCGTAGGACAGAAACTTCTAGAGGTTGCTGGTCGCGGAGGCCTGAACGTGTCAATATGTTCTTGCACCAAACTAATAATAATACAAACAGCATTTAATAAGAGAAATCAAAATATCCACTTATAATATTACACAACATTTTTCTCATTTATAATATACATTTACTAAGTAACAAATACAAGTACATAAAGTTAAATTTATATACATAAAAACAAAATAATGAATTACAAATATGGAATGTATTGTACTGTTAAGTAAATGTTTATTTAGTTTATAGTTTAATTGTGTATTGGTCTTCTGTGTTTGTTGAATAAATAAAAAAGATACTTGCTCATCGTTTACATTATTCCTGATTATGATGAAAAGTTCCTTAATCATCCAACATACACAATCCATCTAAGAGATCTAGAATACTAAGAAAGTTGATTTGTCCAACTATGTTGAATATTCTACTTAAAAATTTGTAATGACTAGAAAATTAATTCGTAAAAATAAAGATAACTATGGATAACTAACTTTCTGGTAGTAATTGGAAATGGCTCATGTAAAATTGAAATCAAATTGTCAAAAATCATACTTAAACAATTTATTGAATAAAAATCCTATTTATTCATAACTACTTTATATGTGTTTGCTACCAATTCCATAAATATTAGATGAAGTTTAAAATTAATGTAAAAAAACAAACAGCACTCATCTTGCTTTGATGTCTCAGATCATTGTGTATGCTGGTGTTACATCAAAGGTTTGTTGGTTATCTTATAAATCATAGTTTGGTTAAATTATAGATCTCAATTTTTGTTTTAGTACACCTCAGATTGTGATTGTATCACTCAAATAAAACTTATTTTATAGGTTTTGATAAATAATAACAATTAAATCAGAAATAATAATTGATAAATTGACAATCTTCAGTATTAATTATTTTGTTACTTACAAAATAAAATTAAAATGTTTTTTAAACTTAATTTAAAAGTCGACTTCTTTTATTTACGGATTAACGAGTATGCTGTGTATACAGCAACAAAATAGAATTGGGCAGCTATCTTTTATATTTTATATAAAAATAAAGTGTTCCTCTCTCTCTAGTGGATAAGGGTAAACTTGTAAATTAGATAGTTAAACTCTCTTTTTTAAAAAACCAAAGTATTTAGGTAAAAAATTTGAAAGATCACGCTATTAGAATTAATTACTTTTATTAATTCAACATAGTAGTTTATGTAAAATAAAATTTTATTACCACAAATCTTGATCCAATGAAGTAAAAAGGCTCTGAGATAAAATTTATCCATAATGTGAGACTTAAAACTAAAATATAAGTTCTTCTTTGGTCTCATGAAAAGTTGCTATATTCACATTTGTTGCTTAAACATAGTGGTCACAAAATAATTGATAATACCATAAGAGTCTATTTCACATCATATATTTTTATTTTTATTTGATTAAAAAAAAAAAACATACTACCATCTTCTCTTTCCAAAATATTAACTTAGGGCTGAGGATTATATTTAGTTCCATTTTATTCAAGGAATACAACTTCCTCTCACTCATTTTGAATAAAAGACTTTCATTCCATGCTTTTTTTTTTTTCTCTCTAATTTCATCAAAATAAGTCAAATAAAAACGAAAATGCCAACATTAGATAGTACTTTCATTAAATAAATACTCCTGTCCACCCTATCCACAGTGGCCTACTAAATGTATCAAACATGAGCCAGTGTTCCTATTTCATTAGTTCCAATTTTAATTAGTTTTGTTCTGTTTCGTGCATAGCAGTTGGTTATGTACATTGTCCCTTTTTTGGTTTTCCCTATTATTAAAAATTAATTTTCCTTATTTTTTTGTTCGTAAATTCATTATTTTTGTTGTATTGATTAAATATAAATGGTGAACTTGTAGGATTTGTTCAAATATTAAGATGATGTGAATTAAGAGAAGCCCTTCATGGGAACATTTCAATATTGTAGATGCTAAATACACAAAATGTAAAATGTGCCGAAATAAAGTGAGTTACAAAAATTCTACTTACAATTTGGTAAAACATGTAAAAATACACCTTGTCATTGTCGAGAAACAAAATATAGAAAAAAAATCTTAAGACTGTGCCAAATGTTGAACCCGAAGAACACATGGATGTAATTGAAACCCAACCCATAAGTAATACTAACTTTTTAGTTTTACAAAGAAAAGAAATTACCGACACGGCTCCTATATCACCCTCGGAAGAAATAGCATTTCCATCAATTTGAAAAGTGGCAACTGCTCAAACTAATATTGCCTCATACACACCAAAAAAAATTTCATCAAAAAATAATTTGAAAAACTATCAAAGTTATCCCCACTATATTATCAGCCATTTAGTACAGTTAAGGATAAAGGTTTCGTGTCTTTTGTCAAAGCCTTAAATCCTGATTATCTGCTACCTTCCCATAAAAAAATATCTAAAACTATGATACCAGCTTCATATGAGCAATTTATTAGTTCCGTAAGAAATATTTTGATTAATATACATAAAATATCCTTAACACGAGATTATTGGACCTCTCCATAAAATGAATCCTTTTTTGTTTGCTACAAGGCATTTTGTTGATAAAGACCTAATAAAAAGTATACAATGGTCCTGCTGTAATATTGTGCTGTTTTAAGATATTGAACATTTGCTTTAAATAAATTTATATTTAAATAAATTATTTAATGTAAATTCAATAAATATAAATTATTTAATTTAAATTTAATAAATATAATATGTTCATTTTTATTTTGTAACTTGTGATTCAACATCCCAACCAACTCCTCTTCAACATATCCACAACAGCCAATTATTAAATCCTCACTCCTGAATTCCATTAGTCCATAATACAAGTTCCCAGTAAGATTCCCCTTATTTTATTTATTTTTCATTACTTTTTTGGGAAATCAGAGATTGGTGGTAATAACATGTTTTCAATTTTATCATACAGGATATACTAAGTAAATAAAAACTAATATAAAATACCATAAATTATCAATTGGTTGAAGAACAAACCAATTTAACTTAAAAAAAAAAAAAACATATTTAATCAATAAAGGGATAAAAACAAAACAAAAGATAAAACAGACAATATTTATTTATTTATAAAGGAAATTAAATTTATAAATGCTGCACATATACAATTACAGATTTACTGCTAATAACAGATTATGAGGGAATTTCTTTTTACTAATTAAATTTATCTTAAGTCTGAATATAATAAACCTCTTAAGAATACTATCTTTAATTTTACAACAATTAATTATGTGTTCTTCATCAACAAAACTCATTTTTTCTGTGAAAAACGCTTTTAAATTACCTCATACTGGGTTGATTTGGCTCATATAGGTTTTGAAATGACTTAAGACTTTAATTGGGTTAATTTTTTACTTTATTTAATTAATTGTCCTTTGTAATTCAGTGGTTATGAAATAAAAAGAAGGAAATCAAGTTTGAAACTCGTTGATATGAAGATAATTTCTATAATTTGAGGCTACTCATTTGAGCTAATAAAATTTTTATTTCGAAGTCAGTTGTTCCAACTATAAAATATACAGTTATCGATACATATTATTCTCCCAAATTGCAATAAAAGATTCCTTTGATTAATTTATTTTAACCATTAATCAAATGTATCAGTAAAAATATTTTAATTTAATATTGCTTATTTTAAGTTATGTTACATTAGTCATTTATTATAATGGACCAACATTGCAGAAAATAATTCCTATTTAAAGTAGAGCGGTAAATGAAAGTTGTGTGTTGCGTGCACCAGATTTATTTAGACAGGAATCATAGAAATTAATATTTTTATTCATTAAGCACCAATATTAAAATTTCTCTTTTCTATTGATGCTTTTGGGTATTTGAAAACTTGAATATTCCTTTACAGATATCGTTTTTACTTTATTTCTAAATTGTTCCAATATCAAAACTGCAATATACAAAATTTTTTTTCTGGATACTATCTGTAACAACGATTACAAATACATCTTTGCTGAATTGTTTATGGAATTGAGGTAGAGAATGAATACGATAACGACTCCAAACAGATCCTCCAATTTATCAGGTTCCATGTAGTCGTTCCAAACATTCCAGCACTTGCTCCATAGCGGCCCAGTATTCATTTCCTCATACTTTTCTTGCATTTGTCTTATTAATCGTATTATAATAAATTAATTATATAACATAATTTAAAATAAGTTATATCAAATTAAAATATTTTTACAGCGATACGTTTGCCTAATGGATAGAATAAATTAATCAAATGAGTATTTGATTGCAATTTGTGAAAATAATATATTACTGAGGAGGGGGGCAAAGTTTCCCTTGAAACGTTCAATAAATTGCAATAAAAGACTAATTTGACTAATTTATTCTGGCCATTTGGCCAATGTATCATTATAAAAAGAACAAGGGTCAAATCTGCATAATGATAAAATATTTTAAGGTGCATTTAGATATGTGCAAACAGTGGACAAACAAATGTGTGAAATGGTTGTTTCCCTATACTTTTGTTTGTTTTTTTTTTCTTAAGAAACCATAGTTTGTGCCCGTTTGAATAGTTGCGTTAAGGCATTTCACAAACTAAAGAAATACAAATATTTATGATTGTTTCCCTATTTAAAATTTTTGTCTCGTTGTTTTTGTGTTTTCCATCTCCTTTGGAAAATGAGGAAAACAAGAGAAATCCAAAAGGGTAGTTTGGCTTTACCATTAGTGTCATTGGTAATTAGACAAATTATTTCTTTTCCTATTTCTATAGTTTGGTTGATGGACCTTGGATGTTAATTAAATTATTTGTAGGTTTAGGAGTCATTTTGAAAATGGGAGACTGGAGTAACCAGGACATTTTATTATTTCTTGAGTATTATAAAGGTGAGCCACAAATAAAAAAGACGCCTTGACCAGGCTGAGCTATTTATGAAATACAAGTGTTAAAGAATTAAAATATAAAAAAGGTATCCTGATGACATTCAGGAGACCCTTGAAAAGAAAGAATGATTCTATCTGTTCAGAAGCAAGTATCACTTTACATTTGACTTCACCAACGTAGGTTCTCTAACCTGAGGTTTTAAAGATGATAATGTTTCACTTTTTCCCGACTCCTATTCCAAAACCAATCAATTAAATTTTGTTTCTTAATAAAAGTGTTGAATGAATTTGAAGTTTAATAGATTTGTGATCTATTGGTAGCATTATCAAACCTCAAAATGTAACTTTAGAAAAATAATATAGTTAAAAGATTTTGGAATATGGGTTTCATTATGTGATGTCATTAAATCATCTATAATGGCTAGGGTGTTGATTTTAAATATCACATTGTGGTAACTTTAATATACTTATCTATAGGTATTATGATGTAGAGATGGTTGACCGTGATATTATATGAGAAGGAGTTGGTTGGGAGGTGTGGTAAAAAAAATACTAAATTTTTAATTGTTACGCCAATGTTTTGACCCACCTTGCAGATATTAAATAAGAAACAGTTGTCTGATAAAGAAATAATTAGATGACATCAGAGATACAGTGATGGAAAAAAGTATTTGCACATCATGTTTTTATGAATAAATGAGTTCAAGGAACCAAAAAACTTCGCTTTCCTCTGCAAAAATGAAAAGTACATTTGTTAAAAACTGAGAAAAACCTTTTGGAAAAAAATGACAACACTCCATAACGAAACAAAAAAAATTAAAACAATAAAAGTGCTTGGAAAAAAGTGTTTGCACACTTTGACTCGCAAGCTCTGTTTACTTTGGCATTAATCCTCCTGTGTCCATAGGTCATAGGTTTGTTTATTAATTTATCTCTAATCGTTTATTACCAGTATTCTCTAGTCTTTCAATCAATTTCCTTTATTTAATAGACAATTATCATGCCAAAGACAAGTGAACTGTGTGCCGCAACTCGCGAAAAAATTGTTTTACTGAGGAGTCAGCAAAAAACATATCGCCAAATTGCCAATTTCTTAGGGTTGAATTTTTCTACAGTGAGATACGTCATAAAAAGGTATGAAGAACGTGGTTCAACTGGAAACAGTGAGCATAAAGGGCGTCCAAAAAAGTTAACTCCCAGGCTGAAGAGGAAAATCAAAAAAGAAGCTCTTAAAAATCCTCTGATAAGTTATCGGGAGCTGGCTACCATAGTCCAATCAACGTCTCGAGTTCAGATTACTAGCAGAACAATTCGGAAGGGCTCCATGGTAGAGTTCCAAGAAAGAAGCCACACATCACTGAAAAGAATCGCAAAAAGGGCCTTACTTTTGCTGGGGAGTACGTACAGAAACCCTTAAGCTTTTGGGAAAATGTCATCTTTTCTGACGAAAGC